GGGATAGGAGATGGGATAATTAATTGATTCGTATACATGCTGCGACCATACCTCACTTATTTACGATTACTGCTTTTTATATTGATTAATGTTTACTGCATAGTGGTGAGCACTACGATTTCCAACTGTGCTCATCCCACCTGAAATTAACGTTTCAGGTTAAGCATGCGGGTACGACGGCGGGGTAGAGCGAGTGGTAGACGGTCTATAAGACCGATTATTTATTATGCTTCCGCTATATTTATGATTTTTTATGATTTATGAATTTTCAAATTCTGAGATTTAAGAAGTGTTGAGACACTATTGGGGAGATGCCCTGTTGACATTGTTATGTCTTGCAAACTTGAGTTTTATTTTGGGAACCCGATTTGGGTGTGATGATTTATGGATTTGTGAACTCCGTTTTGGGAGTTAGATGATTTATGTTATGAAATTGATATTATGTCATGGAAATGATTTGAAATAATTGAGTAACGCCACAAATGTTTGAAATAAATTTTGAAAAATTTAAACTGATTTTTCTGAAAGTCCGGAATTTCTTTAAAATCAAAGTAGGGCGCTACAAGTGAGACACATCTGCTACTTTCCCTCCGACTTTGCCACCAGACCAGTATTAGACAACTACTTCGAAAATTGTATCTCGTTGATGTGCCCCTCTTTCAGCAACTTGCCCAGATCCTGCTCCATCACTTTATCCATCTCGGCTCTGTGATGTCTCCTCTTCTGTTTCACCGACCTCACACTGAGGTCGATGTTTAGCCAATGCTTGATCACACTAGCCCCAATGCCCGTCAATTCCTCTGTCGTATACGCAAAAATATCTACATACTCTCGCACCAACTCTACCAACCACGACCTCAACGGCTCCTCCAACTCCTTCCCAATTCCCAACTTTCTATCGTCACACCCCTCGACCATCTGAATCTCCTCTATCTCACACCCAGGTTTAATGTCCACCTTCTCTTTCCCCTTATCTAACTCTGACTTCTCCTCTTTCTGACCTGGAACCACTTGGTTGATCCAACACTCCTTCACTGGGTTTGTCTTGTTTCTTGGCCATCTGCAGGTTGTTGCTCACCGTGGTTTGATTACAGATCCTCGACGTTAATTGATCTCCTGCTATCTCCCCGACACCTTCACCTATTGGATACTTTATCATCATGTGATAGGCCAAAACCACAGCCTGAAAAGCATTCAAGCTAGTGCTCCCCATAATGATGTTGTACGACGACTCTCTCCTACAACCAAAAACTTCACCATCCGAACCTTCCTAGTCGCCCCGACCCCACGGCAACATATAGAGTTATTTCTCCCATAGGAACCACCTCACCTCCATTGAAACCATACATAGCTGTTACGATCGACATTAACTCCAAGTTCAACTTCCTTTTAATCTACGTAAAACAATCATAAAAATCACATCGAACGTATCAATAAACACCCTCTTCACATCGAAACCTGCAACCTCTACCATAATGACCAGTGCATTATTGTGGGGCACCAACACTCCCTCTGCATCCTCTATCCGAAAACTTTTCACCGACATTTGAGCAGTGATTCCCACCTACTCTCTCTTCCTTTTGACTGTTTGCGTGTGTTCCTTCCTTACATTATGCGAGTCACCATAAGCCAATCTGCCTGAGATCATGTAAATGGTTCCCCTTTTTACTGGCGCATCGTTCCCAGACTCTCCTTGACCTCTATCTACTCGTCCCCTCTTATGCTCCACCTCTTAGACCTCCTAGCTCATCACGACCATCTTCCTCCTCATCCTCATCCTTGTCACTTTTTTCCACTGAATTTTCCCGACATTTCCTCTTCTCATTCATATATGTTCTATCATGGTAAAAAAGTTCTTTAAGTTACCATGCTCTAATCAGTTGCTCAATCTCATCCTGAAGCTGCCTGCAGTTCCCCGTGGTGTGTCCATAATCCTTATGAAACTTGCAATACTTCCTTGACTTCGGCGGGGTTAGACCATCAAACCTCGACTTTGACCATGTAACCTCTCAATCATCTAGCTTCTCTTCAATTGTGACCAAGACCTCCCCTAACTTGGTATTCAATGGCGTGAAATTGTGAAACCTCTTACCCCTTAGAATGGGTCGATCTTTCCATGTATCTTCTCATCTCTTTCTTGCCTATTTCTCCCATACCTCCTAAGAAAATCTCTCCTGGGTGAACCTCTTCTGGGCGAATTCGCCCACCCCTTCTTTGGCTCGGGTCGAGCCAACTCCTTCAGCTTAGCAAATTCAACCTCCGTCTCCTCCAAATTAATGTACTTCTTGCATCTTTTCAACACCTCATCGTGCGTAAGAGTTGCGGTCTTGGCCAGACAAGTTCGACAAGGCCCAGCTCGCAAACGCCTAATCAACCCAATGACCTTGACCTTGTCCGAGGCTGATGGAATCTCCAAACACGTTTAGGTTTTCTCCTGTGGCACTGCACTCGCATACTGGTTCACTAATTTCTTTGCAAAATCCTCGAAATCTCTTATTGACCCTAGGGGAAATTGGTGGAACCAATCGAGCGCTCCTCTCCTAAAGGTTGAAAGATAAGCCCTACAACTCACCAGGTCAGAATACCCATGCAACACCATCATGTTCCCGTATGACCTTACATGTCTCAATGGGTCAGTCGACGTGAAGCTGGTCTCACTAAAGTTGACTGGCAAAAGAGCTGCCAGAATTTCTCTCGAAAAGGAATGTCCTCGAGCACGTCCCACTGGCCTACTATCCACCTTGGCTTGCAATTGACGCAACTGCTCGGCCATCCTCACTATCTCTCGATTCCTTGGTGCTCCTTCTCCTCCAAAGCTTGACGCATCCTCCTCCATGTTTTGTTGCATGCCCAACACCAAGGTCAACGCAGTAGCCGCATACGATGTATGGGTCGTCACTTATTGCACCTCCTGCCCTGCCGCATTGGCCTCATCCTCTCCATCTCCTCCTTGGTCATCGTCACCACCTGTTGACGAGGGCGCTCCACCTCTACTCTCGGTGGTGCCATCACTTGCGCCACCATCTTTACAAGCTGAACTCCAACTGGATTTGGCTGCGACAGAGCGGGCATCACCATCGCTTGCGGTGCCTGAGCCTCCTACGCCAGGTTCGAGCCAATTTCAACCATAGGAACCGCCGATGAACTCCTAAAACCTTGAGGAGCAGGTGTTGGGGTCACTGGAATTTGAGAAGGTCCAAGGAAGCCCGAAGTGGGCCACCTCTAAACGGTTGCGTCGTCGTCCACGCCTCGTCAAACGACGACTACAATTTTTTTAATAGGAACCTCGCCCGCCATAGTTAAAACAACTCTCAAGATCTGCACACAACCTTTCGAACGATGTTCCCACAGACGGCGTCAAATGGTAACTTAGAACCTCCGACCGGCTGGAAATTGGTTTGCTCGAGCTCCTCCTTGCTGGTTGAAGACCTCGTACCTGTAAAAAATTCCCACACCGGATGGGGACTTTGGTGAAGAGCCTCCGATGCTTAAATGAGTATGTATAGATTATGAACCATCAAAGAGTATAATGAACATAATGGCAAAAATCGCAATTCTCACCCCTATATATAGGGGTGAGGTACCTGTTCTAGAAGCTGCCTAGAAGTGCTGAGTTAGCTGCTCAAACTGCCAAGAAGCCCGATCGTACAACACACACTGAAGGTGTGTAAAAAATGGTTATAAGGTATAGGCCAATCAGGCCCTACCACGTGTCCTCATCACGTGGGGTTTTGATTCCGTTGAGATCTTCCCAAAGGCTCGACCAGTTTTAGGTCGACTTGCTGTTGTAGGTCGAGTTTTGACCAGGCTATCCAAGGACTCTGGCTTGACCTACCCTCATCGTACCGAAATCCCCTTTATGTTGTCTTCTAGTCCAGAGGCTGTTGTTTATATGACTTTCAGCCACGACCACGCCGTTCGGATCTCGCTCGACTAGGTGATTAACTTGGTTTAATCGTCAGGCCTGCTCGACGGGTTTACTCTCTTAGGTATAATATCCCATATCAGTATCAAGGGTAAGGTTAATATTTTTTTCTCTCTTACTTCTCACACAATCTTATCGAAAAAAAAATCTTACAATTTCTCTCGTAGTGCTCGCATAATGTTCCAGCAATTTTCTCTCGTAATAGTGCACGATCTGATAAGAAAAAAAAAATATATTTCCGCACATCTTGATAATCCACAATAATAAAAATTTCAACTTTTGTTCGGGAGAATTGGAATCCTTATGGCTGGTGCAGAAGGGAGTAGTGGAGGCGCCAGAACAAGTATTTTGCTTCGCAAGACCATGTCTCCATATGATATTAGGGATAGTGATAATTTGGGCATGTCGATCACTGTTGGTCCAGTTAAATGATGCTCATAATTATGATGAATGGTCGGAAGCGTACGGACTGCTCTTCGCACTTGCAAGAAATTTAGATTTTTAAATGGATCAATACCTCATCCGGATGAAGATTTGGAGTTATTTGAATATAGGGATGCCAACAATTTGCTTCTTCGTTCTTGGATAATGAACTCGATTGAGCCTCGAGTTCGATCCACCATTATGAAGTCGAATCTTCCCGATGACATATGGCTGTCTTTGAAGAAGCGATTTACTACCACAACGCCCCCCCATATTCAACAAATCAAGTCCTATTTGGCCAATTGTAAGCAAAAGGGGATATCAATCGAGACCTACTATGGAAAAATTAACAAAATATGGGAGGAATTGACTGAGTTTGAAAAGCCTCCCATGTGTCGTTGGGGCCATTGTCGGTGTAATTTGAACGTTGAATGGGATCGACGTCAACAAGGAGAGAGCATTCATTAATTTATGAAGGGCCACGATCACATCCTTTATGGTGTTCTTCGTTCCCATATTCTGGCCTAGAAACCCTTGTCGTCTTTGAATCATGTTTTTTCGAGGACGGTGTAAGAGGAGAGAATGCGGACGATGGCCATTAGGGGTGATGTTCAGCCTACTGTTGGATCCCGTTTTGTTGTTCAAACTGCTTATGCGGGATCGTTTTTTGCTGCAAGGAAGGCATTGTCGTTCGAGGTACTTCCCGTTGCACCAAGGGCCACATCCGGGGCTGCTGCAGGCGGCGTCATCTAGGTGGCTGCTGGGGGCGACTCGGGCTGGGCCTCTTGCACGAGTACTGGACAACGTTCGTCCAATGGGATGTCGGTTTGTCTCCACTGTGGAAAGAGTGGTTACATGCCTACTAACTGTTTCGATATCATTGGCTATCCGGACTGGTATTCTCCCTCATGTTCTAGCCATGGAGGTCGCAGAGGGGCTGGTCGTGGGCGTCGTGGCTGAGGCGGCCAAGGTCTCGGTGGTACCACTCCTGTCAATGCTGCCGCGATAAGTTTAGCTTCTGATTTTGGTTCAGGTTCCCAGCTTTCTGAGTCCGACCGAGCTGCTATCACTGGTCTTTCTTATGAGCAATAGTCACATATTGTGAGTTTAGTCAATTAGGCTAGATAATAACCTTCGGTGTCTGGTAAGCGTAGAATATATGATTGGATGTATGATTATGGTGCTACACATCATATGACAGGTTACTTTTTTTTTTTTCACTGATGTTCATGATATTCCCTTTCATCCGATTCAATTGCTAAATGGGACATTGACTATGGCTTGTCAGGCTGGCATTGTGTTTTTGGGTTCTCATATTGTTCTTCATGATGTATTGTTTGTTTCCAGTCTCCGTTGTAGTCTTATATCTCTTTATCAGTTGTTGGATTACTCGGATTGAACTGCTCATTTTGATAATAAATTTTGTGCTATTCAGGCTCGTACATCAAGGATGGTAATTGGCACGGGTGAGCAGTTGGGGGGCCTCTACTTCTGTCGAGGGAAATTTTTTGTAGCGGCTTCTCGAGGGAAGAAAGTTTCCTTTGATTTGTGACATCAACGTTTGGATCATCCTCCGTCTACCCTATTATCTCAACTTACGGTAGTTGAATTTAGTTCTTGTTCGTTGAATAAAGCATGCGATGTGTGTTTCTGTGCTAAACAGTCTTGAGATAGTTTTTATGTGAATCATTCTGCTAGTACTGAGATTTTTAAGTTAATTCATTGTGATATTTGGGTTCTTTATCGCGTTCCTTCCTTCAGTAGGGCACATTGTTTTATAACTATTGTTGATGATTATTCTCGATAGACATGGATTTATTTACTTAATTATAAGTCTTAGGTTTCATCAAAGTTGTTGATTTTTTTTGCTATGGTGCAACGTCAATTTGGCAAGTTAGTAAGCACGGTTAGAAGCGTTAATGAAATTGAATTTATGTGTTTGGCTCCTAATTTCACTCTTCAGGCCATTACTCATGAGACTTCTTATGCGGGTACTCCTTAGCAAAATGGCCGTGTGGAATGGAAATACCAACATATTCTTAACGTTGTCCGTGCTTTGCAGTTTCAGGCCCATTTGCCTTTGCCTTTATGGGGTCATTGTATTTTAGCTTTTGGGTATTTGATTAACGAACTGAGACTGTTGTTCTCGAGGGTAAAATTCTTTATGAGGTTTTGTATGGCAATCTTCCTCATTATTAGCTTGTGCGTGTCTTTAGTTGTCTTTTATATGTACATAACTGGGATCTCTAGGGGGATATGTTTGTTAGTCGTAGTTGTATGTGTATTTTTGTGGGGTATCCCTTTGAAAAGAAGGGTTTGGCATGTCTATGACTTGGAACGTGAGATTTTTCTAGTTTCTCGTGATGTAGGGTTTGCTGAAACTGAGTTCCCATTGAGCAATATTTGCGTTGTTTTCTTACACCCTCGGTTCATGTTGCTTCTTTTCCAGCCGAGGATGATGATACTGCAGTTTTAACTCCAACGCTCTCTTTGCCGCCGGCTGTTTCCATTCCTGAGGCAGGGTCCTCTAATCTTGTGGTTTTCAGTGAGTTCCGATTACAGGGGGGTTCGTCTCCCGTGGAGGCATTAGGTCGGGGTCATTGAGCCAAACAACCCTTTACTCGGGTTAAGGACTTAGTCATTGAAACTGGCTGTCACTCGAAACCCTCCACTGCCTCATTTGTATCATCTCCTTCCTCAGGTACGCATTATCCTATTACACATTATGTCTCATGTGATTCTTTCTCACCGAGCCCCAAGTCATTTTTAGCACCTCTTGCTTCCACAGTGGAACTTCACACATTTTCTGAGGTTGCTGCTAATCCTCGGTGGAGGGTAGCCATGCTGTAACGCCCCGTTTTATTTTAAAGAGTTTACTGAATTAATTAATGAAAATCAGAGTTTTTTTTTTTAAAATCCAAGTTAAAAACCTTTAACGAGAAACGGGCGCTACTTACTAAGAACAACAACAAATAACACACATCCATTAACTCAAGGAAACTACACATGCACGAGCTGACAATAAAACAAATCCCAATAATGCATAAAAGTTTCAAAACCATTTCTAAAGGTCTAGCACTAGTCAAAGTTCAACCAACATAAACATAGTTCGAAAAGTGAAAGCAGTAAATGATCCAAAGCAAATAAATAAATATCAAGTTTACGGAAGCATAGGTTTTCAAACACATATGACCACCATCTCGCTCGTCCTACGCCACCGCCTCCAGCTCGTCTCAACCTAGAACAAGGAAGAGAAAAGACAACAAGAAAAATAATGGGGGTGAGCAACCAACTAGCTCACCATTATCGCACAGTTATCCTGCATAATTATTTTAAAAGCAGTAACACAATAATCAGTATGCATAAAATCCAACAGTCTAAACCCCCTACCCGGCCCTATCGCAAAACTCCTATGTACATACAACAACCTTCCGACCAAACATCGGCAAGGCCGTAACTGGAAAATTTCCCCCACTCCGAACCACTCACGGATCATGGGAGTCGACCCCGAACTACTCACGGATCATGGATGTTTTCCAGGAGACAGTGGAGATGTTTTTCCCCCCCGAAACTCACACGGATCAGGGCGTCGCCTCCCGGATACAACGGGCAGGTGAACTCTCACTGTTATGCATTCGTCAAAGGCACTACCAATAGGAATACCTAGACTAGGGTTCTCACGCATACATTCATTTCCAAAAGAGACATTATACGAAATAAATGATGCGATAAATATGGAATACATCAAAAGTGTACCCACCTGATAGCAGCAACAGCTCACAGAATCACAAATCCAGAAACGAGGCGAGGTCAACACCTCTAGACACCTACATTACGACAAGATCCTACAATCAGAATCTATCTTGTCTTAAATCAGAAATCACAAGACAGACCTAGTCGAACTCGTTTCGACTAAGTAGTTCGTGAAGTTCTGTGGATGTTGGAAGACTAAGACTCGGCACTAAACTCGACCAAAACACGCAAGGGAGTTCACACTAATCCATCTAAGGATTGATCAAGTCAAACTTAAATCAAGTCGATTCCCAAATTTTCATATAACAATTATGTTCGAAAATAGAAATCATTTAATCGCATAAAATTAGAAGGTCAAGCTACCCTACGAATTAAGCTCTGAAAATTTATACAAAATTTTAACTCCCAGAAACATGTAAAATCACAAAGTTTCAGCTTTAAACTCAAAATACCCCATTTTATAAAATTTGAACAGTAATTCAGCAAAAAGGGCGCCTTAATTCATACTCAGACTTAATGAATGCAAATGAACCTGAAAATTTTACACAGAAACATACAGTATGCCAAAGTCCACTTATAAAAATTTCAGCCTTAAATGATAACTGCTGCTATTTTTAAAAATTCAAACGAGCAACAATAGTTTATCGAATTTAAATCCAAACTGAAACCAAACGAACTCTAAAAATTCTCATATTTTACAAACATGATCAAACACCTAAAATATGACTCTCAGTAAAATTTCAGAATTTTCCATGCAGTAACCGATTTTTAAAAATTCAAACAACACTTCTGCAGAATCAATAAATAAAATATTATCCATAACAAATCAACTCCAAAAATTCTGAACATTTAACACAACACATATAAGACACAGAGGCATGACATATTCAAATTTCAGCTCATTTTACTCAGGAATGAATTTATTATGTATTTAACAATATTCTGGACAGAACACAATTTAATTATTTAAAATAGCTACAGGTCTCCAAAAATTATGAAAATTTTACAGAAGGCAGGAAATGAACAGATAACACATCCCTCAAAATTTCACATCGTTCGAGCAGCGAGCTATTTTTAAAAATTCGAACATCAAAACAGCAATTAACAAGCTCGACAACTTGACAAGTAAATCACAACACACAATTTATTGTCCGAGGCCTTATCATAAGACCAAGGACTCGACATTGTTCCATTATCCACCAACTTACACGACTTTCAAGGTCTCGTTCGATTTTTGAGAAAATCAAAGAGATCCCGAACATACGATAACACATAAAATCATAATAACACATAATCGCACATATTCACATCAAGCGATTCACACATATATTACATTGTTCAACGAGCACTTCACGACAATAGTGTTTATATAACATCACAACAAATTCATAAACAATTAACATCATTGAGCACATAAATCCGCAGAGCACGATTATCGCATTAAC